TTTTTTTTTTTTTTTTTTTTTTTTTTTTTTTTTTTTTTTTTTGTTTCCCCTGGCGTCAGACTGCCGAGATCATCAGCCACATTTGTCTGTGAGATTCGTTCTGAAAGAATAAAACAATACACTTTTTTTTTTCTTTTTTTTTTAACAAATTATACACATTTGCTATCCACATGGTTTTCCTTTTTTGTTCCTTTTTTACCCCCTCCCCTCCCCCCTCTCCCCCCCCTCGCGTCAGACTGTAGACATCATCAGCCAAATTTAGTTTGTCACACTAGGACTTTTCTATATGTGTCAGACTACAATTAGGACTTTTCTAAATATATGCATCAGACTGCAATCACGGCCAGACCTGGATGAATCTGGTTGCAATCATGTCCAGAGCTTAGTATTAAAAATGTCCTAGTGCGAGTATGCCCTGTCAGATTCATTGTGAAAGAAACTAAAAACAAATCACATTAAATTTTGCCATCGACAAGCTTTTTCCTTCCCATGCTTTCGTTGTTTCTCACTTTTAATCAAAATCTGTCCGCCCAACCAAATTACATCGACAAAACAAAAAAAAAAAAAAAAAAAAAAAAAAAAAAAAAAAAATCGATCCGACGGCATCCGCACGCTTCCGGGCGGACCACGGAGCCGAACATCAGAAGAGACTCCCCGCAGTCGGGATCGCGGTGCACACGTCCTGATCGTAACCATGATAAATTTCTATTTTTCTGAAAACTTGCAAAAAGGATGAGATGGCAAAAAAAAAAAAACAAAAAAAAAAAACGGATGAGATGGCAAGTAGGTGCGAGGATGAATTCTCTCTTTTGATTGGTCTCATCATAAGGCTGACAGAAAAAAAACAACAGAAGGAAAGAAAAAAGGATGAGGTTTGGTTTCTTACACTGGATCAATCTACGTCATCTCAAATTGGGAGTTGACATCAACTAAAAAAAAAAAAAAAAAACCTACGTCATCAGGAGGACGAAGAGTCGGTCCCGGCAGGAGAAGGGACGGTAGGGGATTTTGTCCGCTTTGCAAAAAGGATGAGAAGGCAAA